CAGAGGTGGCATTTGCCAGTTCTCCGAACTACTCAAAATTTCCGCTACCGGTTCTCCAGAACCTGTCAGAACCTGCTGGATTTCACCCCTGATTATTTGATAGATTATATGAAGTGCAGCCAATCCTCAATTTATGATCACAGTTGGGACCAGATTTTCCTTGCTAAGCAAGGCAGTTGATAAGTGAGTCGCACCTGGTTTTATGACCATTTTGCCAATGTTGTTATGTGAATCACTGCACTTGTTAAATGAATCCAGTTTCACCCAATGTCAGAAGCCAACTGGGTAGGCTGCAAATGGGGATCATGTGACTGCAGGACACTGCAAACATTGTAAATACATGCCAATTGCCTAGTGCTGGGGTCTGCAAGCTTAAACACTCAAAGAGCCATTTGGACCCATTTCCCACAGAAAAGGAAACACCGGGAGCCACAAAAATCTTCCCGTGCCTGACTATTTCTTGAGTGGCCACAAAAGTAGCATATGTAGTTGAATTAAACATTCTGTTTTTCTTCTGAAACTTTTCTTTTCTTGGATTTATCCATGGTTGGCCTACCGGGGGTTGAAAAGCTCAATAAATTGTGTGCCGGCAGGTGTCGCACATTGGCGGTTGTGACGCATATTTTGAATGACAAGGAGCCGCAGCAGAGGAGTGAAAGAGCCACGTGCGGCTCCAAAGCCTAGTGCAATGCTCACTTGACCATGGGGATGCTATGATGGTCACGCAAGTGTGTGGATCAGTCTTAAGTCATTTTTGCTAAAGAAATGGTTGTTAAGTCAAGGTCTACCTGTAAGACCAGTATTTCATCAACCTTACCAACATTAAGATACAAGTTGAAGTTGGACTTCAACTTCCGGAATTCCCCAGCCAGCATAATAAAACATAATTCATTTTTGTTAGGTGAGAGTTGCATATTATGGGATTCCAGTGTTTTATTCACATGGGCTTATTTTGATTGTCTGAACCCAGAGTCAAGAAAAGCTTTTACAAAAACTTCTTTCAAAAAGGAGTCCCTAAAACTTGGCTGAATGAACTCATTTATTCATACACTCTTTGCTCTTATAATTTTTTCCTTTTAAAGGCCAATCTATGCAAAGGGAGCACACATGACTCTAGCCAGAGGACTTAATTATTCCAGCCAATTATTAAAAGTTCCAGGTTTGTTGGCTTAACAGTGGAAACCTCATGCTTCTGAGATCAAATCCATGCCCAGCCCTGAAAAAATCTCACCATTTTATAGGTAATAATATGATGCTTTTAACTTATGACCCCAACAAGTTATGACCATAATTTCAGGCTCAATTATGGTTATAAGCCGAGGACCATTTGTTACTGACAGTTAATCTTCATGCAGGATGGGCAAGTCTTCTAACTGCCAATTGTTCTTAACTGCAAGTTTTAGTTACGTGAGAATGAATTAAATCAACTCAAAGTTTGACCGTCTTGGCATCAAGCAACAATTTTTGGACTGCAACCCTAGGTATACCTTAAAAATCCAAATGTAGCCTAGAAAACATGGTGCATTTCCATTTTATAATATCCTGTACAGGTTTTCATGCTTGTATTCTCATTCTTTGAGTCATAATCTTTATGCCATTTACAGACCTCTCCAGGTAGATATCAGAACAAACTTCCTGACTTGTATAAGCTGTCAATCAGGGGAAGGTTGTCTCCTGAAATTGAGAATTCTCTTCTCTTTGAGGGGTTCAAATTAAGAGCTGGCTGGTCAACTTTCAGATATTCTAGTGGATTCTGAGTTGAGCAGGTGATTCGGCTAGATCAGGGGTCAGCAACCTGCAGCTCTGGAGCCATATGCGGCTCTTTGGGCCCTCTGCTGTGGCTCCCTGTCAGGTGCTCCCACCACTGGTTGGCCCCACCCCTCACCCTCCCCTCCCAATCACTCCTCGCCTGGCCTGAGAAAGTAAGGGTGACGGCATGGAGAAGCAGCCAGGGCAGAGACATAGAGAGATACAGAGAGAGAGGGAGGGAAGGGAGAGAGAGAGATGTCAAAAGGATTTTGTGGTTCCCAGTGTCTTTTAACAACTGGTTTTCTGCCCTAATGGGTAGAGAATGCTGGGTAGGCGTGGCTAGGGGGATCGTGTGACTGGAAGTGAGCGACATTGAGTTGGCCACGCCCACCCAGGTTTTGTGGCTCCCGGTGTTTTCTTTTCTGTGGGAAACGGGTCCAAATGGCTCTTTGAGTATTTAAGGTTGCAGACCCCTGGGATAGATCAATGTATCCCAACGTTAGCAACTTTAAGATGTGTGGACTTCAACTCCCAGCATGCTTCCTGGGGAATTCTGGGAGTTGAAGTCCACACATCTTAAAGTTGCTAAGGTTGAACAACACCGTTGTAGGCAATCCGGTGCTATGCTGTTGCTATTTTCCAATCAGCATTAATATAGTCAACAAGATGGATTTCAAGATCTGGAACAATCTTGAAAAGTCTTCCGCCCATGCTTGCTATAAATTATGAAAACAGATGTTCCCCAAGCCATTTGGGGCATGATATCTCTAAAATGCTCACAAACAGCTGAAATTGGAGGTGGAGGGAGCAAACATCAGAGGGAGAATGGAATATCCAGGAAGAATATGTAGCTTGAACAAATGTGTTACCTATTGTGGGTTTTTTATATATATCTACACATACAAAACCCTTCATGGACCAGCCTAGTCCCAAGTGCTAGTTGACTGCTTCCTTATGACCCACCAAAACACAACTTTTACTTCACAACCAGGAACCATTTGCACTACTCAAGTGACCCTGAGGACACAGATAAACTCCAAGGGCTTCAACGATCCTCTAAAAAGATGCAAAGGACCAGCTCTGTCTGCAAGGAATATAAATCCTTCCATTCCCCACTATCCTGTCAGAGCTGAAGAAGCTTCTTGGATGAGAAGCGAGATGTCTTCAAAAGAAAAAACAAGAACATCCAGTTGCCTCCTGAAAAAAGCACCTTTGGGACAACCATAACCTGGATGACTGAGAATCTCTACAGACTTTTTGCGTCACAAGCTCAGACCATGCACGACGTCTCAATTTCACCAAGTCACCTTCTTCCTATAGTTCTACAAGGACCCAAAATTATCTCCCAGGTTGGGGAAAAAGCAGAACTGATCCACGGTGCTGCAGTCACAAAACTAGGGGACATAGTGAGCTGCCAGTATTACTGGTACCCTCAATTGCACCAGGGGTGGGTTCCACTTACCTTTACTACTGGTTCATAGCGGGAGCACTCGCGCGTATGCGCTGATCACTCATGATGACATTGTGGTGGGTGGACGGTTTTACTACTGGTTCTATAGAACCGGACCGAACTGGGAGCAACCCACCACTGAAATTCACCAGTTGAATGTTTCTCACTTGACTATGATACACCCAACCTACTTCCTCCACCTTTAATAAGCCTCTTCTACAGCCCCAATGGAGAAAGGGATCTGCCGCTAGTCCAACTCTCCTCCAACTCATCCAATTCAAGTCATCGGGGATCAAAACCCTCCTGGTGCTTTTGACATTCTCCAGTCAAGAATTGCAAATAACAGGGTTACAATTCTGTCTATAAATTCAATCCCCAGCCCTTGTGGGTAAATCAAAACTGATTTTAAATAAGCTTGACTTCTAATGACTACAGAAGCTTCTCTGTCTAGCTTTCCAAGGTGAAGACTAGTTCTGGGTATTGGAAAAAAAAAATCTCACAAAGTAATGGATAAACCTCTTTTGTTACCAAGAATAGCACACAAAAGTGCTCTTGTGATCAGCTGTAATTGAGCTTCCTTAAATTTCATCACAGGAGGTGGCTGAACATAGTCAACCTTGGTTGATCTTCAAAAAGCTAAACAAGGTTGGCTAGTTCTCCTATCCAAGAGACACCAGGCTATTGGTTAAAATAATGTCTTAGGAAAAAAAGTGATGGCAAACTACTCCTGCTACCAACCTGACTTCCATTGAGGACCTGTATACTGCACGAGTCAAACAGAGGGCTGTGAAAATATTTACGGACCCCTCACATCCTGGACATAAACTGTTTCAACTCCTACCCTCAAAATGACGCTATAGAGCACTGCACACCAGAATAACTAGACACAAGGACAGTTTTTTCCCGAATGCCATCACTCTGCTAAACAACTAATTCCCTCAACACTGTCAAATTATTCACTAAGTCTGCATTACTATTACTATTAATCTTCTCATCGTTCCTATCACCCATCTCCTCCCACTTAGGACTGTATGACTGTAATTTTGTTCCTTGTATTATTACGATTTATATTGATATTGTTTCCTGATTGCTTATAATGACTATAATTATGATTCTTGACGAACGTATCTTTTCTTTTATGTACACCGAAAGCGTATGCACCAAGACAAATTCCTTGTGTGTCCAATCACACTTGGCCAATAAAGTATTCTATTCTATTCTATTCTATTCTATTCTATTCTATTCTATTCTATTCTATTCTATTCTATTCTATTCTATTCTATGCATTTAGTGACCTTTCAGAGTTACCCTGGCACTAAAAAAAGTGCCAGTGCCACTGATGATCATTCCTCACACTTGGCCAATAAAAATTCTATTCTATTCTACAAGAAAATTGTAACTAGAAAATTCTACAGATGTCACCGTACATCAGGGGTATCAAACACAAGGCCCGTGAGCCAGATGTGGCCTGTGATGTGGTTGGATCCAGCCCACAGGGCCGTCCTGGAAAATGTAACGGGTTGAACCGTGTCGCTTTAGCCCGGTCTACCCAATGCAAAAAGGAAACATTGGGCCAGCATGGCTTTGGCCCAGTCTACCCAGTGCGAAAGAGGAAACATGCTAGCAGTTTGGGGAGTAGTGTGAAGCTGGCCACACCCAGTCGGCCACGCCCACCCAGCCCCCCAAGGTCAACCTCAGCCCTGATGCAGCCTTCAATGAAATAGAGTTTGAGACCCCTGCCATACATCATGAAATTCTGTTTGAAAGTGGCATCCACCAGGCTGCACCCAGGCATGCTTACCAGGGCATCAGGCGTCCAAAGCAGGTCCAGGAGCTTTTACTGATGAAGAAACCCACCAGCGGGTCAGTTATGGCATCCCACGCACGTCCCACGAAAAGGATGATGGATGCGTAGAAGGGGTCCATCTGTTAAACAGAAGAAGGGAAGAACCTCCATTCAACTCGAGCGTGGGAGCTCATTCTCTCACTGGAAGCCACAAGTGAAAGAAAAGCAAATTGGTCTCATGCAAAAAAAAATAAAATAAAAGGACAAGTAGAAACAAGCCAACCCAGGGGGAAGAGAGCAAGGTAGGGCAAGGTGGAAAATTCAGTATTTGAACCAAATCCGTACGTATAAACTCAAGCCAAGTCTCTTCGGCAGCTGCAGTTGCTGAAATTCTCTTGGTAACGGCTTTCTATCTCTTCCAATAAATACGGGTAGTCCTCGGTTTATGACCACAATTGAGTTCAGAATTATGCTGGTTAAGTCAGGCTGATTATTAAGCGAGTCATCACATGACTGTGCCCGATTTTACAACCTTTTTTGTATCAGTCGTAAATGAGCACTCCAGTCGTTATGTGAAACCGTTGTTGACAATGGGTGGTGTTTTTTTGCTGGAAATCAGAAGTAAATGTCTGTTTCCAGCAAAAACCATTATGAATCGTGGTCAGGTGACTGTGGGATGCTACAAATGGCCGTAAATGCTGGCCAGTTTCCAAGCACCCAAAATGTGATCATGTGACCGGGGAGGGGGGAAGAAACCATTAGAACTTTGAATCCAAGTCTTAAGTAGTTTTTAAACCTATTGTAACTTCAAACAGTCGCTAAATGACCGGTTGTAAGTTGAGGACTAGCACTTAGACTTATATACCGCTTTACAGTGCTTCACAGCCCTCTCCAAGCAGTTTAGAGCGTCAGCCTATTGCCCCCAACAATCTGGGTCCTCATTTTACCGACCTCAGAAAGATGGAAGGCTGAGTCCACCTTGAGCCTGGTGAGATTTGAACTGCCAAATTGCAGGCAGCCGGCAGTCAGCAGAAGGAGCCTGCAGTACTGCACTCTAACCACTGCGCCACCACGACTTGCTCTGTGGTTTTGGTATTTTCTCCTGAGCTTCTCTAAGTGGTTCACATTCTGTTTCTGTTGTGGCCTGTACGTGGCCTGTGCGGCTGGTGGCTGATTTGGACAGCAAGGAGGCTGGTGTGGTGCTGCGCCAGCAGCCTGTGCAGCTGGCACTCGAGTTGGACAATGAGGAGGCTGGAGAAGATGTGGTGCCAGGGGCGGGGATTCGGCCAGGGCCTTCAGAACCTCCAGAAGCTCCCTTAAGTGAAGAGGACGAAGAGGAGGAGCCTCTTCTCGATGCACGGGCACGCAGAGCTGCCAAAAGGCAGGAGTGGCTCCTCAGGAGGAGGTCTCCTCGAGAGTAGGGCTTGGGGCTAATTGGCCACTCCCTTAGCCTATTTAAGGAGGAATGCCAACTGAAGCAATTTGCAGGGAACAACCGTTCACTCTCCTTTGTTCCTTGATCTTAGTTCTCTGCAAATTGCTTCTGGGCTTTCTGCCAAGCATAGTAAGATTAAGATTATTTATTCTTTGGATTCATGCAGGCTGTTAAGAAAGTTAATTAACAGCCTTTGTTTGAAAAAAAAACCTGATTTTATTTTAGTAAACTAAGGTTTGTACAGACTTTGTGTGTGCTGCGTACTTTGGGGTCCGTAGCTGGGGCAGAACAGTTTCTAGCTGAAGCCTGGCTTTGAGAAGCTGAAACCTGGAGAGGCTTTATCAGATGTGAAGTTACATTATTTATCCCAAAGGTGCTTTTTTTTTTAAAAAAAACTGGATTTTCTAGGGATTTTTTTCCCCTTTAAAAATGTTTCACTTCTCATCCGAGAAGCTTCTTCAGTTCTGGATGAGCTTCTCAGATGAGAAGCGAAATGTTTTCAACGAAAAAAAAAAAAACCCAAGGAAATCCAGTTGCCTTTTGGAAAAAAAAGCACCTCTGGATGATTTGAGAATCTCCATGGTCACATGAATTGCATTTTTAGATCTGCCACCCTCAAGTTTTGAAATGCTGAGTAGCCGATTTCTTCACCCGAAGCTATGAACTTCGACATGGTATGCAGGCTTCCAGGGACGACGGGGGCGAAAATACAGATGGAACCACATGTCGACAGTTGTACATATCATTAATTGGGCTTGGAGGGATTGTTGAACCAAGCCAGTGTGGCTTATTTAACGAATTACAGTTCAAGCAAGCCAGGGCTTTGTGGGATGTGTGAACTCAAGTCAATGAGTTACCAAGCAATAGCAAATGTGCTGCTCTTCTTAGCAGGGATTATTTACTGAAAGAGAAATGCCACGGAGAATATACAATCGAGGCAAGCGACGCACCACGAGAAAACAAGATGTTCTTAATTTGAGAACACTTGCCAGGAGCATGTAGAATGGACTGAACAATGCCTTTAACAATCTGGTCGTATATAGGACTAGAAGTGGGGTGAGGCCCTTGGTTCGGTTCACATTAGGTCGGCGATTCTAGAGGCATTCTGTGCCCCAGGAAGACAAGACTACCAAGGAGCCTTGGTAGTACAGTGGTCTAAAGCACCCTGTTATTAACACCAGCTGCCTGCAATTACTGCAGGTTCGAATCTCACCAGGCTCAAGGTTGACTCAGCCTTCCATCCTTTCTAAGGTAGGTAAATTGAGGACCCAGTTTGTGGGGGCAATAAGCTGACTTTGTATAAATATACAAAAGGATGAAGGCTATTGCTTAACGCATTGTAAGTTGCCCTGAGTCTCCGGAGAAGGGCGGCATATAAATCAAATTAAAAAAAAAAGACATGAAAGCATGAGAAGCATGAGGAAACCAACTAAGAGAAAAGCAAGAGACTTCCTTGCAATTTGGAGATGCTTCCTTCCCTAAACTAGCGCTTTCTGGATCAGACCTGGGCATTTTGCAGGCCATATCCGGCCCTATCTGGCCCGTGTGAGGTCAATTGGAAATTAGAAATCAATTAAGATAAGATGAATAAGTTAGGTTTAATAATAGAAATAAAGAGTATAAATTTTGAGTCTAATGGTTAGAAATAAAATGGGTATGTTGAAATTAAATACTTTTGGAATGTTTAATATATTTGTGTGCTTTAAATTGTTAAAATATATCCATCTAGGGGGAAATGAAAGAAAAAAATGGATTGATAATTGATAAGTTTAAGGTAACGGGTTTTGGGGGATAATGGCATAGTTATAGACAGATTTGAGGGAAATACTTGTTTAAAATATACTGCTCAAAAAAATAAAGGGAACACAAGCAGAAAACATCCGAGATCTGAATGAATGAAATAGCCTTATTAAATACTTTGTTCATTACATACAGTAGTTTATACACTGCTCAAACAACTAAAGGGAGCTAAGTGAATAAGTGCACAGCCCTATTGTTTTGGTTCTTCACAACAGTCTCGCTTTCTCATGGGGCCTCTTGGGAAAATTAATTGCCCACCCCTGCTCTGGATGAATGGGGCAGCCTATTTGATATTGCTTAGTAATTTGTGGAGTCCCTAAATAGTAATCGCTGTGCTGCTAAGATTTCAGGGAAATTTAATTCTACCACATCTGGAAGATTCCGTATGCAAGAAAACTGCACTGTGCAAATCTGCTACAGGTAATCCTCAACTTACAACTGTGTTCGTTTAGCAATTTTTCTAAGTTGCAACAGTTATAATTGCAATCATCCGTCACGCTGATAATCACTGCAGTGTCCCCGTGGTCATATGATCAAAATTTGGGCCCTTGGCAAAGGCCATACATTTATGATAGTTTCAATTTCCCAGGGTCACGTGATCGCCATTTCCAACGTTCCCAGCCAACTTTCAACAAGCAAAGTCAACGGGGGAAGCTGTATTAACGACTGTGTGATTCCCTTAACAACTGCATGATTCCCTTAACAACTGTGGCAAAGAGGCCGTAAAAACTGGGCACGGCACGCTTCACAACCTTCTTGCTCAACAACAGAAATTCTGCTCCCAATTGGGGTTGTAAGTCAAAGACTACCTTTACAAGGTCCTGCAGAAGCCCTTGGATCCTGAGCTCAATAAGGGGTTGCATGTAGGATAGGCTGCCCATAGGGTGGGTACTAGGGGCACAGCACTGAGACCAGATCTGAAAGCGCAACAAGGAAGTACCTCCGTATAGAAAGCTAGCATCTCAAGCAAAAGGCTAAGCAAGAAGCTTCCTTGAAAAGGGATGGTTTTACAGAGTGGAGCATGTAGGAAATTTTGCATGGAAAGGAAAGTTTTGGGGAACTCTAACCCAAAGAAAACAGCAGTTAAAGAAAATCTATACTGGGTGCAAATCTTTAGACGTGGCTCAGCCTAGAGTTGAATCCAACAGGGATCCCCAATAAGCCTTGATTTGACCACCAACCCCCAGCCTCAAAGAAAAGACCGAAGCCAGTTAAGACTTACCTGCACCACGTCCAACAAGTAAATCTGGAGAAAGAATCCCAAAGCACAACCAGTGATCTGATAAGGTGCTCCACCAATGGCATAACACACTTTGCTGCATATCGATAGCTTGGCTTTGCTTTCTCTCTGGAACAGAGAATTTGGAAGCAATGGTCAAAACTCCAGAAGGAAGATCAAACAGGACTCGCTCTGTATCAGTGTTTCTCAGCCTTGGCAATTTTGTGGACTTCAATTCCCAGCAAGTTGGCTGGGAAATTCTGGGAGTTAAAATCCACATGTCTTAAAGTTACCAAGGTTGAGAAATACTGCTTTATGCTCTACAAATTCAATCCACCTTTAAATTCACCCAACCCAGTTTACGGAATTATGGTAACTTATTTTCTGGATTCACACAATACACTGAACAAGAAACTGACCCAGTGCTCTGGTTTGTACTTAGTTTTAGCAAGGGAGAATTTTGCACCTTCTGAACTCGTTAGCAGTATTTGCACGTATCTTCCCAAGGTATTTATCACTCCTACTTTCTAGCAACAACTTTCTTTGTTCACCCTTAGCAAATATCCCAGTTCAAACAGGCAATAAATCTCACCAAGGACAGATAATAGAAGCTAGTCCAGAAAAGTGCTTTGCTCACGCTTTCAACCCAATTGGGGTAAAAAAACAATGAAACACTTTCTCCCACCGCCAGTAGGGTGTACATCTGTAACTGCCTCCCCATTCACTTCAAACAACTCTGGAAGGGCTACCAATAATTATTACGATTGAAAAAGTTGAGATGTTGCTTTAAATTATTCAGCTTTCAGGTCCTCTCCCCCTGTTGGATCCAATCAAGAAGTTAAAGCTGAGTTTTGAACACCATTGGATTTCTACCAATGATTGAGTTGATTATGTATGTTGGGTGAACATAGCAATTGTGCATCTTGTCCAATAAGTTGTGGTAATCACACACCCAGTCCAACCAATTGGTAAATGCAAGTGGTGTGAACTCAGAAGGATCATCATAAACATATCGGCAGGAGAGCTTTTTAGAGAAAATCTTAGTTCATTTACAACACTCAATCCATGCTACTGTGCATTGTTTTGAAAGAGTTTGAAATTCCTGATTTAACTAGACTTCTTTTCTGAAATTCAGCTCAGATTTTACTACTGCAAAGGCATGTTATAGGTGAGAGAATAGTGAGTTCCTTCCACTTAGACAGCCAGACACAAAGACTATCTTCACACCATTCTTAATCAGAGGTGGACAATTTGATGTTCTCCAGGTATTTTGGATACAGTCCTGCATTCTCTTGTCAGTGGATATGCTGGCTAAGGCTGAATGGGTATTTAAATTCAAAACATCGGGTGGGTGCCGTAATGCCTAGCCATGCTCTGAACCCTGGCTTAGATTCAATGGTTACCCCAAGATCAATATACAGTGGCTATGTTTGCATGGCTAGACTAAAGTGCAGTTGAATGTTCAGTGATTTGGTGAATCCAGCTATTGTTTAGCCTTATTATGTGAAACAGGCCATTCACTTAAGCTATAATGTGGTCACCCTAAAACCTTCCAACAGACCCCAACAAACTCGTCATCAAAATCCCAAGCATCACTTCAGTGTTTAGGTTACAGATTAGAAACCGCAAGTCTAAGAGAGAAGCCAGAGGCCGAATAGTCCTTTTCCATTAAGGTTTGTTTCCTAGCCATCCTGGTCAGAAGCAGAAACTGGGTAAGAGACGATTTTTCAGCTCTGAATTCATTCATTCTTTCAACACCTCTAAGTCCCAGGCTCCCATTCTGACACATAACTTCCCACCTGACGCTAAACATCGGGGCCGCCCACGGCTACGAGGGAAGCCAAACCCTGAAAAGCCACCCTCGCATGAAAACCTCACCCCACCTCTTTCTGAAACAGCCACGACTTCTCTTGTAGTGCTCCGCAGTTGTTTCTTAAAGGGACAGAAACACACAGACAGACACACACACACACAAACTGCCACGAAGCTTGAAAAAGAGACTTCCAGGGGGGAAATCTTCCCCCTTCTTCACCATTAAATAAATAAATAAATAAATAATTTTTTTAAAAAAAGTGGGGGGGTGGAACAAGCCGAATGCTCCTGACTGCGCTTTTCTCAGTTTATTGTTTATATTGATATCTTTTCCAAAGAGGAAGTCGCACCAAGGGCGGCCGTACCTTCTTCTCACCATTTATGAATGAACTTGAACTGCACGAGGAGGCCTCGCAAGGCTTTCAGTACAACTCCAAGGCTGACGCGCCGAAAAACCCCGGGGGCTCTTTTTAAAAGAGGCGAGGAGTGGGAGGATTCCTCGTGGTAAGTCAACTCACTCTCTCCCTCTCTCCCCCCCTCCTGCCTCCTTCTTTCTCTCCCTCCCTCCCTCTTTCTCTCTCTCCCTCCTTCCCTCTCTCTTCCTCTCCCTCCCTCCCTTTCTTTCTTTCCCTCCCTCCCTCCCTCCCTTTCTCTCTCTCCCTTTTTCTCTCCCTCCTTCCCTCTCTCTTTCTCTTTCTTTCCCTCCCTCTCTCTCTCTCCCTCTATCTTTCTCTCTCCCTCCCTCTTTCTCTCTCTCCCTCCTTCCCTCTCTCTTTCTCTCTTTCCCTCCCTCTCTTTCTTTCCCTCCCTCTCTCTCTCTCTCTCTCCGTCCCCTGCGCTACTCCCCCGTTGCCCCAGTTCACACGTCCTCCCGGGAAGGACTAACCTTGACCCAACGCCAGGGGCCAGCCAGCGTCTGCAGCAGAGCCATGGTGAATCGATCACCCGAGCCCGCTCTAATTTGAAGGCTCCCATGCCTTATAAGGAAGGCTCGCCCGCCCACCTCCGCCCCGATCCCGGATTGAGGGGGGAGGGGGGAGATCCGAATGGATCACCCAACTTCGCCTCCAGATCCAGGACCCGTTGGGTTTTGGGGGAGGGGACCGTTTCATGCCCTTCCCGGTTCTGCTTTGCAGGAGGAGGGGGAAGCGAGCGAGCAAAGCGCAACACTCCCCCCCGCATACATTCCAGGGGCTTTCTGGCTCTCTCGGGATCTCTCCCCGGTCGATCGACTGGCCCGGGGGCTGCACGTGGATCGCCCAAGCTCTTTCTTAGCCGTGCTTCCTCGGGGAGTAAAATCCGCCCGGCTTCCGAGCACAGGGCCAGCCGCGCGCGCGGTTTCCAGCCCTCCCGCGCCTTATTTTAATTTTTCTTTTTTCTTCTTTTCTTCTTTTCTTTTCCTGGCTCGTTTTTCGCCTTCGCCCCTCCCGCTGCCTTCCGCCTTACCTTGGATCGGATCAGCTCCTCCGGTTTTAAGATGCTCGGTTGCAAAAGGCCAGCCGAGGAGACGCTCTCAGCTCCTTCTCCTTTGGCCATTGGCAAGCCCAGGGGGATCGGGTCCGATTAATCCACTTGATCTCCGTGCTCGAAAGTTTTCCTTTCCTTTCCTTTCCTTTTCCTTTTTCCTTTCCCCCCTTTCCTTTTCTTTCCTTTTCTCCTCTTTTCCTCTTTTCTTTTCTTCCTTTTTTCCCCCTCCTCAATTCGCTTTCAGGCGTTTCTATCCCGGCGCGGGAAGCAGCGGCGGGACAGTTTCAAGCGGGCGAGCGAAAGGCTGCCGTGAGCGCCCCGATCGGCTCGGCTCGAGCGGAGGAGAATGAATGAATGCGCCCCTTTCTCCGGCCGACGGGATTTCTTTCGCGTGCAGCCAGCCGCCAGCCGCGGCTCCTCCCCCAGCGCTCCTAAGCCAGCCCCCTCGCCTCTGCCGGAATTAGAAACAACCCCCAAATTCTGGCTGTTTTAAGGGAGCCAATCCGGAGCCCAGCCTTTGAAAACACCCTCGCCTTTCCCACTCCGGACAGCTGGCAGTTCTCGCCTTCCAAGAGTCGGGCTGCAAAAAAAAAAATTAAAAAAAATAAAAATAAAATGACTTCACCTTTCTGTCTTGGGTGTCAAAAAAAGACAAAGAATGCAGCCTTTTCTGAGATGCAGGGAGTCCTCGACTTACAACAGTTTATTTAGTTTTTTTTTAAATATTTTTTTTAAATTTTCTTTTAATACAAACGTTCCATCATTCATTAAATCAGTGGTGAAAGCCAATATTTTTTAACTACCGGTTCTATGGGCGTGGCTGTGTGCCTTGGTGGGCGTGGCAGGGGAAGGATACTGCAAAATCTCCATTCCCACCCCACTCCAGGGGAAGGATACTGCAAAATGTCCATTCCCACCCTACTCCAGGGGAAGAATATTGCAAAATCCCCATTCCCATCCCACTCCAGGGGAAGGATACTGCAAAATCCCCATTCCCACCACACTTCAGGGGAAGGATACTACAAAATCCCCATTCCCTCCCCACTCCAGGGGAAGGATATTGCAAAATCCCCATTCCCACCACACCTGGTAGAAGGATATTGCAAAATCCCCATTCCCATCCCACTCCAGGGGAAGGATACTGCAAAATCCCCATTCCCACCACACTCCAGGGGAAGGATACTACAAAATCCCCATTCCCTCCCCACTCCAGGGGAAGGATATTGCAAAATCCCCATTCCCACCACACTCCTGGTAGAAGGATATTGCAAAATCTCCATTCCCACCCCACTCCAGGGGAAGGATACTGCAAAATCCCCATTCCCTCTCCACTCCTGGGTGAAGGATATTGCAAAATCTCCATTCCCACCCCACTTTGGGGCCAGCTAGAGGTGGTATTTGCCAGTTCTCCGAACGACTCTAAATTTCCGCTGCCAGTTCTCCAGAACCTGTCAGAACCTGCTGGATTTCACCTCTGCATTAAACAGTCGTCTGAGTAGAAATGTTTGTGTCGTAACAGTTAACGCTTATCAACATGTTCATTATTTATATCTACTTTTATTTTAATACTAATACTTAACATATCTATTATTATAACATCTCTTAACTTATTCAACTTTATTATACATTACTTTCATATTTATTCTCTGACAAAATAAATCCCATATATTATTATAATCATCAGATTCTTCCTTTCTTTTAATTGCAAGTGTTAATCTATTCATTTCTGCACATTCCAATATTTTCTTAATCACGTTTTTCATCTGCAGGAATTGCTTCACCTTTCCAGTTCTGTGCAGACACAATTCTAGCCACAGTTATTGCATGAATAATCAAATATACATTTTCTTTAGTCAACAACAGTTCATTTAGTGACGTTCAAAGTTACAGCGGCGCTGAGAAAAGGGACTCGTTTTTCACACTTATGACTGTTGCAGCGTCCCCCATAGAGTCACATGATCAAAACTCAGATGCTTGAGAACCAGTTCATATTTATGACCATTGCTGTGTCCCCAGGGGTGGGGGGTGGGCATGCAATCCCCTTTGGCGACCTTCTAACAAGCAAAGTCAATGGCGAAACCAGATTCACTGAACAACTGTATGACTAAATTAACAGCTGCGGTGGTTCACTTAACAACTGTGGCAAGAAAAGTTGTAAAACAGGGCAAAACTCACTGAACAACATAAATTTGGGGGCCAGTTGTGGTCGTAAGTCGAGGACTACCTGCCTGTGCTGTATTTGCACCGCATGCTTACAGGTAGCTCTGGCCTTACAACCATTCATTTGCTAACCGTTCAAGGTTACAATGGCACTGAACAAAGAGACTTAGGAGCGTTTTTCACACTAACGACCGTTGCTGTAGCATCCCTGTGGACATGTGACCAAAATTCAGATGCTTGGCAGCTGGTTCATATTTATGACGGTCACAGTGTCCAGGGGGTCATGTGATCCCCTTATGACATGCAAAGTCAATGGGGAAACGGATTCACTTAACAGTCTTGTTACTCACTTAATAACTGTAGCCATTCACTGAGCAACTGTTGCAAGAACGGTTGTACAATGGGGAAAATCTCACTTAATAACTGTCTTGCTCAGAAACAGAAATTTTGAGCTCAGTTGTGATTGTCAGTCTATCCTTGTTCATAACAGTAATTCATCACATTTTAACACATCCATCTTCTCACAATTAATGCAGTGTAATGCATTTCTGGCAGGCCTGGGGCCGTTGATCTCGCTACGGCGATCTTGCAAGACTCTGCCATGGAATGGAGTGTATGGGTTTTTAATGTTTTCTTTTAAAAAATTTATGGGATATTGTTCACATTGGGTTTTTTTTTTTTTTTTTTTTTTTTGCTGTAAGCGCCAGAGTCCCTAGGGAGTTGGGCGGATAGAAATATGACAAATAAATAAATAAATAAATAAATAAATAAATAAATAAATGCAATGAATATCATATTCTGGATTTTCACATCTGCGAGTACAGTATAACTAATCATGGAGTAGGGTCTGAGTTTGACCCTCACTTTAATCCTGGAATCTGTTTACCCATCATGCTTAATCTGGTTATTGAATCAACCCACAGAGCAGAAATCAAACCAAGACTAAAACTAACCAAGATTGCAAATTATGGCCATTAGATTTTCCCTTCATCTGATTAAGCATGTTGGGTAAATAAGGCCACCGAAGCACAAACTAATTTATGGATATTTTAATCAAGCCTGTTTGGTCCATTTGTGGTTCAATGGATTAGGCAACTCCTCAATTAACTGGGTTAATTGAGTAAGCCTTAGCTTTGTTCGTTGTATTATGAAAACTTCTAAGGAACGCCTAGCTAGATGAGTTAATTATGCCCCTGCGAAGCCCATAAAAAGTATGGGGTTTAAGAGCCGTAGCAAACTCTGGCTGGGTTAAGGATCCCAGTTTTTACACCATATTTCTGAGAAAATTTCAATTTCAACGTGAGATTTTGGAAATCTTTAATTAAAAAAAAATCCTTCCCTTCAAAATAATGTGGAAAGTCAGTGAATGCCATTATGCCTGTGAGCATTTCAATATTGGCCTTCAGGCTAAATCCTGAATTTAATTTATTTCTGGCTTTACATGAAGTGTTCCTGCAGGCTAAAATGGTTTGTTAAACAAATGATGGTTGTTTAAAAAAAATCTGATTTAGCATTGTTTGCAAACCAGCCTTTCCGTAACTGACCAGCAGACTTTCAGCCATAAATTGGTCACATTCATTTTAAAAATGAATGCCACTTTCAGGTTAGTGGCTGTTATGGTAATAAATTCCACAGTGTAACCATTCATCAGTGCTTCCTTTTCCCTGAACAAAGAAAGATGGTCTACTGTGTGCTGGTAAGCTGGTGAAAAGTAGAGGAAGTGGACAATTAAGGTATTAACAAATATGGAACAGGATTGTGGCTGAAGACTGATATATGTACCTATTCTGACAAGGCAAGACGGTGTGCAAATTGTCAAACTTTGCACTAGTTCCTCAAACCAGTGCCTTTTCCCGAAGATCTTTCAAAAAAGAGCACGCTCGGAAGAAATGTTAGAGACCAGAAATGTCATATGAGCAGGCAGGTTTTACACGCAACTGTCTTTCTTTTTTTGGGTAGAATAACCAGTATGGATGGTCACAGGAATTGTAGTGGATATAGCATACTTGATTTTAGAATAGAATAGAATAGAATAGAATAGAATAGAATAGAATAGAATAGAATAGAATAGAATAGAATAGGGTAGGTAGGGTAGGGTAGGGTAGGGTAGGGTAGGGTAGGGTAGGGTAGGGTAGGGTAGGGTAAGGTAGGGTAGGGTAAGGTAGGGTAGGGTAGGTAGGGTAGGTAGAGTAGAGTAGAGTAGAATAGAATAGAATAGAATAGAATAGAATAGAATAGAATAGAATAGAATAGAATAGAATAGAATAGAATAGAATAGAATAGAATAGAATAGAATAGAATTCTTTATTGGCCAAGTGTGATTGGATACACAAGGAATCTGTCTTGGTGCATACGCTCTCATTGTACATAAAAGAAAAAATACTTGTTGATCAAGAATCATAAGGTACGATTTATATACAAATAAGCAATCAGGAAACAATATCAATATAAATCGTAAGGATACAAGCAACAAAATTACAGTCATACAGTCATGAGTGGGAGGAGATGGGTGATGGGAATGATGAGAAGACGAGAAGATTAATAGTAGTGCAGACTTAGTAAATAGTTTGACAGTGTTGAGGGAATTATTTGTTTAGCAGAGTGATGGCGTTCAGGGAAAAACTGTCCTTGTGTCTAGTTGTTCTGGTGTGCAGTGCTCTATAGCATCATTTTAAGGGTAGGAGTTGAAATAGTTTATGTCCACGATGTGAGGGGTCAGCAAATCAGTAATAGCAATAGTAATAATACTTAGACACATATATCGTTTCATGGTGCTTTATTTTACATAATGGTCGTATGTCGAGGACTACCTGTAATGAGAGGAGCAGAAGGAGGAGGAAGAGAGTAAGAACATAATTGCTCCTGATTCTTAGAGCCATGGCGAGAGCTTAGGAAAGGATAACCGGGATCAGGACCACAGTTTCTCCTTCGCAAAGAAGTGGGTGAGTGGGAAAGATGCCCTCTGCAATTCTTGGAACCCCACCCAAGGCGTCAAGATTTACACCAGCTTGGAAAAAATATATGGGCATATTTTTAATACAGCAATAGAGCTCTTCTAAGCTTCTGCCTCTTCTAAGCTCCTTCCCACTTTAAGCAGAGGAAGCTTAAACATTTTGGCAGTGGGTAGATGGCAGAAGAGATTAGCAACAGCAATAGCACTTAAATTATATACCAGCCCATAGTGCTTTACAGCATTCTTTGGGCAGTTTACAAATGTC